ACACCTCCCTACCCGGCCAGACACCCACCCCTGCCACCTCTCTCCTTGAAGAAAGGGCTGGAGGAATGTTGTCACTCTGATAGAGAAGCCAGGCTGTGTGCTTGGCCATTCCCATCACCTCCTCTTGTACCTTTTTCTTCCTTCCCGTGTTTGGCCGAGGGTGCCCGGCAGGTTTGTGCAGCGCTGCAGCGATCGTTTTCTTTTCAACCTTGTTCATTTTCCAATAAACCCCCACACTCAGCGGTGCTTTTACCGCTGCCGACCACCGCGCTTGTTGACTTCTAACAGCAAGACCTCCTTCCCGAGCAGCAGTGGCTAGTTCAGGGCACAGCAGCGGGTACGCGTTTTCTCTGCCTCACTTGATATTTACCCACATGGAATTGCATTTACTCTTTTATCTCCCACTCATTCAGCCTTGTAAGGATTTGTAGCGACCGGCTTTCCCTTTTACTACGCTAAATTGCTAGCCCGCGTTTCACAGAATCACAGAATCGCAAGGGTTGGAAGGGACCTCGGGAGATCATCTAGTCCAACCCCCCTGCTAAAGCAGGCTCTCCTAGAGCATTCTACACAGGACTTCATCCAGGCGGGCTTTGAATATCTCCAGAGAAGAAGACTCCACAACCTCCCTGGGCAGCCTGTTCCAGTGGCTCTGTCTCGCTCTCCACCCCGTGTGCTAGCCAGCACGCAGAGCTGGGCAACCCCACCTCAGCCACAACAAGCCAACGCCTTCTCCATCGTCCGTTCTCTATCGCATCGGTTGCTTATCACAAAGGGATCTTTTTCTTCTACGCCGCAACAACCGCATTTCTTCGGGAGCCTTTTGTGAGGGATCTTATTGAACGGCTTTAGGAAACCCAAGCCAACGCTATCAACTGGATCTCCTTGCCCATGTGCTCAGTGATTCCTTCAAAGGACTTGAACAGGCACGCGAAGCAGGACTTCCCTTCACAAAAGCTGTATTGATCCCTCCTCGTCATATCACGTTCACTCGTATGTCTGTTCATTCTGTTCTTCCGTGCAGTTTCTATCAATTTGTCGAGGAAAACCACCAGATTTCCTGGGCTGGCCTGATAAGAGAGCTGATATTGTACATCAACATTTCTTTTCTAAAACAATCTGGGCACCAGCTGTTCCTTGCAAGCCTCCAATTCTTTGAGATTTCTTTACTCAGCGTGATAGAAGGCATCCAGGGTTTCTCACGGAGCAAGGCCTCCCAGTTGCACAGTTGTATCTGCACTCTCTCCTACGGCACCGTATTACAAATTTTTCAACAAAGACGAAAGTCAACCACATCACAGTGGATAGTTTTTGACCAAATACAATTTATTACCGTTATTGAGTTGCTTAGTCTCTGCATAAATACGTTATAGCACATATCAAATTAATTATTGCAATAGAAAAATCAATTTTGCACATATACTGCCCGGTGATTTATTGTTACAATCAATTATACATTTCAAAATCAATATTTCAGGTTTTCATGGCTGACTGAAATAATGCCGAGCTTTTTGCATTAGGGCAGAACAAACTCCATTTTTCAAACCAGGGAGCGATTGTTTTAAAAAAGAGATTTGGTCACTTTGCATATTGAAATTGCCTCCATATAAAATGCTTATGGGGGAACGCAAACACCCAGGGAGTGGCTTTCAAACATATTGCTGTTGACAGCTCTGAGGACGTCTCCAGGTAACTCACTGTTTGATAAAAAAAAAGATCTCCGCGCCACATTAAGCCACGCTCTCATCATGGGGAACCTCAGCATCTGTGTATATTCCAGCCCAGCCAGGAGGAGAAGACACTTTGACTGCCCCATTTCCCAAGGTAGAGAAGAAAGCAGAGCATTTGGATATTTTCTCAGAGGAGGGGAAGAAAGAACATCTCCATTTTTCCCCTGCCCCTTCCAAGAGCAACACGGAAAGCTCTGCTGAAATCCCAGCTGCCCCCATCCAGGAAAAAAAAAATATACGGAGAAGAAACCATAAAGAAGTGGAGGGACAGGAATGCTTTCAGGGACCTACTGCACAGCTCATGGAGGTAGATGGTTACAGGAATTATTTGTGGGTCGAAAAATCCCACTGGAAGGGGCAAATCACACTGGTGTCTCAGTTCGGAAAGTGCAGTAACACCAACTTGTACCCAAAGGTGCTGCTTATAGAAAATTTAGAACTGAATCAGCTGATAGAAACCACAAGTGAATTTTGAAAGAAATCCCATCATTTGGAAGACCTCCCGATGACCCAGACTTTTGGATCTTTTGGTGGTCCACCATCATTTCCAAACCATGGGCTCCATTTTGTCTGTTCATTTCAAACAAAAAAGATTGCTGAGCTGCATGTGAGCTAAACCAGCTAGGAGGCCCCAAGACAACCTGTTGCCCTCTAAAAGAAGTAGCAATAGCTTTGGTTATGCTCATTCAGAGGAAGGGTTCTCCAGGCCAGCGTCCACTCAAACCAGGAAAAGAGTTTCTTGCAAATGGAACAATACTCAAGCAACGGATCTGCCATTGGGGTGGGTTAACCCCTCGATGGGGCCAGTCAGCAACCATTTAACACATCTATAGATGGTATAACCATTTTGGAACTGGAGCAGGAAGGGCTCCAGTCTCTCTCAAGCCACTTCATCATAAGATTGCACAAGCCTGGGGTGATCTGGGCAGGATCCTGACCAGGCAGCATGGTCCTACCTTTCTGAGCAGAGAAAACAGAGAAGGCTCCTAAAAGAAGGGAACACTGGCATAAGGGATACAGCGTCCAAGCATGTTCTCCAAGCGTGTCCCCAAACACAGCAGAGGACGAAGCCTGTTACACAGGCACAGCACTGCATGTGTAGAACTGCTTGTGAGAGCGATAAGTGCGTAGTTTTTAGGGATATAAGGAGCTATCGCAGCCATACTATTTCTAGCCTGAACTTGACACTAGTTTGATTTTCAAAAGACAAACAAGAGCTCCAGCAGAAGCACCAAAGCACTGGGAGCTGCGACACCTGCAAGTGCTGAGCAGATTTTATAAAGAGACCCCAAACATCCCTTCCTCTGCCTTGAAGTCAACAGCGACTGCCTCTCCCTGAACACCAGGTCTCACAGAAGCAATGGGTTTGATCTAACGCTCAAGGTAGAATAAAGAGCTTCCTTCTGATTAGAGGAAAAAGCAGGTTCTTTACAGATCCACCTAAAGCTGTCACTGTAACGGTAACAGTTCACTTTCACCTCCACCTGGTCTCCATGGACACCGCAACGATGCTTTTTATCAATAGTGCTTAACGTGTGACCCTTTGCTCCAGGAAAATCAATGACGAAGGTTCAGACAGGCTTCTTGTCCTTTCTTCTCCTTAAGAGAGGGCAGTAATGACTAGTGATCTAATCCTTCACTCTTTATCCGAGAAGGAACCAACAGAAAGAAAATATTTCCCTTCTGTTATCCCAGGATTCCTAAGGAAACCATAAAATGAAGCCAGCTTCCAGAGGATTTTAGCAACCTGATAGTCCTGGTTGGAACACAACATGGGAAAGTATTGCAAAAGGTTGCTGGCCACCTCCGTTTGCTGGAACGAGCCTTCTTCAACGGGAGCGGGGTCCCTTCCTTGCACCATGAGGAAATCTCCCTGAGCAGCCCAGCGTGAGCTCAGACACCCAGCGCTGCCCTCGCTCAGAGCTTCCAATGCCCTGGACATCGCAAAATGTTTTACAGATTGCAAACTACGTGGCACGATCCCTCCCGGTTCAACTGTATTTGATAAACCTTCCCAGGGAGAACAGACACCGGCCCAACAGATCTAACCAAACCTGACCTTTAATGTCCTTCCTGTAGTTTCCAAAGCCATGGGATATCTTCATGATTATTTGGTAGAATAAGAAAAAGCTGAGATGTTATCTCTACGTTGTTGGAAATGTGGAGCATCAGAAATCTCATGAATCTTATGAAATCAAAGTTTCTGGGTGTGCAAAGACCACTTGTCCATTTATTTCAGTCAATAAACCTCCGGACATAAATATTCATTAACAGATATTTGCAAACGTTCATTGAGTTGCAGTAGCAGACCACCAGTACTTCACGAAGT